AAAGTGTAAATAAGGACTAAAAGGTATAATAGATAATGTGAAATAGGAAGAAAAGGGGCAAAGGGGAAGGGGAAGTGGGGGTGGGTAGGGGAAGGGAATGGAATTAATATGAGAAAATGAAAAAATGGAAACAAAGTCTTTGTAAAGAGGGAGTGATGGAGGGGTTGAAGGGAAGGCAGGGGGAAGGGGGAAAAATAAGAACCAAGATACATCATGTAAAGGTGCAAATTCCCAATGATGAATGTAACTGTATTGCATACTTAAAATAAACTTAATTTTAAAAAAGTATTTTTGGCATATGCTTAGTAAATATCATTAACTAGTTACCTGGAGCTTCAGCACATAAGAGATTATATCAGGTCCCTGCCTCCCCTTCACCCTCTGCTTCCAGGAAAAGGAGGAATCAATTGCAGACTAGTGCTTACCTCCTTCTCACAAGTGATCTCAGAGACAGACCCCTTCTCTAATTCCACACAAAATAACCTCACCACCAATTCCTTGTTCTCCACCCACATCGCCATGACTATAAGCACTTCAAGTGGGAAATTATATCTACCAGGAAATGGCCAAGAAATACTTTGCCTAAGGTCTGTGAAATAAAATGAGCCATGGTAACATTTATTGGTCTTTTCATTTGGTTCAGAGTTCAGTATTTTCTAGCTGTGCATAAGAAAGTTTAAGACAGCTCTGAGCTCACTCCATTGTCTATGGGTTCTTGTGTTATTTTTAAAAGGATGCTGGAAAAATATAGTACAGGGTGGTTATTTGTCCAGAGTGAAAGTGACCTTTACAGTGAGTAGAGAATTGCTTTTGAATGCTACCGAGACCTGCTCCGTGGGAGCCCCAAGGTACCTGTGAGTGTAGAGTTCACTTCACCTATTTAGGGTCCTGGAGTGAAGGAGAATTGGAGAACGCTTGTGTTCATTATTTCAATTACCCTATGCAGGGTTGACACTCAGGACTCAGAGAGGATGTCGGTATGGCAGGGGAGAACGAGTAACAGCGGAGAGAGGAGACCTCAGAAAGCGCCCTGTGACAGTATCAGAGATCCCTCAGAACACAACGCAAAGCTGCAGCATCGAAAGTCAGAGGTAATTCAGGAAAGCAGTCGTCTGGTACTCACGGAAGCTACGTTCACGAAGTCGTCATCTGAGAGCGTTTCCAGCATTTCAGAGACAGACGTTCGGATCAGCTTCAGAGTCAGGCCACTGACGCTCCCGCTCCTGCAAACAGACCGAGGGGCCCCAAGCTGCTCACCCATGACTTAATAACAACACCACGAAGCAAGACAGCATAGCGACTCATCAGGGCCATTCACATCGTTGTCAGTTAGAACAATCATCCCAAGCAATCAGCACCAAAATCAGCAGCAGACCTCAGATCTTTTGGCACCGTGGACATTATAAGAAACACTGTTTTCCTTTCCTACCAATGTCAGCATGTATTTCTAAGTGAACTATCGACATTATATGGCAAATGGCAGTTTTTAAAAATATATAGATGGATACTCGGATATTCACGCATCCAGAAAGACGTGTTAAACACCGGGTCTGTCAGCCAGGTTGGAGTGAGGGCAGAGGTTGGGAGCCAGAGCCCAGGTGCCCGGAGCCTTCTGCTGACTTGATTAAGCAGTAACCAGAAAGCCAGCCGCGTGGCGCTGTGCTGGTTACACCCCAAGGAGGAGTCCCCTTCTCCTCTCCGTCTGATCCACGCTCTGCCCCTCCCTGTGGAGTGCTCACTGCTGGGCACTGTTCTCCCTCCCACCTCAGTCACCCAAATGAAGCAAGGGAACAAATAAACAAAAGGGTCAATGCAAAAACGCTACGAATTCTTTCCTTGTATATTAACATGTCCTTTGAAAAAGTCCCAGTACAAACATTTCATATATTTAATATTTATTTTGGGTCAAAACCCTAAGAGTAAATTGAATCATTGACGACCAAGTGCCTATGAAATGCTTGTTTAGTTTTGTTGTATGAGGGACTGCTTTGCTTTAGCAATGCTGTATGTTAATACAGTCCTCAAGATAAAACAGGCATTAGAAGCCAATAAATGATTTTTCAAAAAGCTCTGATTTGAGAATAACGCTGTCATTTTCCGTTGTGGTATAGATATACATGTGATTCTCCTCATTTCAATCAAGTAGCTTTGCTGGTTTTGTTTTGTCTTATATGGCTTCTCTGTCTGGATAGAAAAATATCATAATGATTGGGGATTTTTTGACCTATCACACATTTCTTAGTCCTGACACACTGTTACCTACAGATCCACTCCCATTCCCACATGTAAATGTGTAACACTAACTACTCACACGTCCACCAGAATGAGCATGTCCTTGGGAGACGCTGCCCCTTGGATGTACCTGAAACAAAAACGACACGGATATTTTCTCTCTTGCAATCCATCAAACATTAACGTGGGCTGCACTGGCATCTGCAGATCTCTGAGGTAAGTTGTTTCCAGGCAGAGACCTGCTGCTATTCTGTTTCTGCAGAAAATGCTCTTTTATTCACATTCTGCAATGTCAGCTTCAAAAGGCTCTGTTTAACACAGAGATCCCAAGGCGTGACATTTGAAGTATATTTTCCAGATATTTATATCAAAAGATGGAGACTAATCCCAGTATTGAAGGAAATTAACTTGCAGGACACTTTTTCTCCTGAGAAAAAACTGGTACACAGTGGAAATTATAGGAAATGTATTATCCTGAACTCAATAATTGACCACAGATATGTCATCTAATGAATAACAGATTGTCATACTATTGAAGACAAAAAGTAAAACAAAAACCAGGTTGTTTAGGCACTTTTAGAAAGTGGCTTAGGGATGGGCACAGTGGCACAGGTGTGTAATCCCAGCACCTGGGAGGCTGAGGTAGGAGAGTCACTGTGAGCACATGGCCAGCCTAGACTACATAGGGAGACCCTGAATCAAAAAGACATAAACAAAAAACAAAATAAAAAATAAATAAAAAGTGGTTTAGAAACCTAAAAAGGGTTTTTAATAAGATGAGATCCCAGTTGTTGATTTTTTCTTCTAGCTCCCGTGCTGCTGAGGTTTTGTTCATGAAGTCTTTTCCTATGCCAATGTCTTCAAGAGTTCTACCTAACTTATCTTCCAGCAAGTTTAGTGTTTCTGTCTTAATATTTATATCTTTAATCCACTTCGATCTTAGTTTAGTGCATGGTGATAGGTATGGGTCTAGTTTTAATCTTTGCCAGGGTGAAATCCAGTTTTTCCAACACCATTTATTAAATAGGCTATCTTTCCTCCAATGATGGTGCACTGCAAAAGAAACCACCAACAGAGCTAACAGACAACCTACAATGTAGGAAAAAAATTTTAGCAGCTGTACCTCAGACAAAGGGCTACTATCTAGAATACATAAAGAATTGAAAAAGATCAGACCCCCTCAAATTCAAAGACCCAATTCAAAAATGGGCATCTGAAATGAACAGACATTTCTCAGACAAAGAAGTAAAAGCAGCAAACAAATATATGAAAAAATGTTCAACATCACTGGTCATTCTAGAGATGCAGATGAAAACAACACTGAGATTCCACCTCACCCCAGAAAGAATGGCTGCTATCAAGAAATCAACAAGTAACAAATGCTGGCAGGGTTGTGGGGAGAAAGGAACCCTGCTCCATTGCTGGTGGGAGTGCAGACTGGTGCAACCACTATGAAAAGCAGTATGGAGATACCTCAAAGAACTAGGACTAGAGGTCCCATTTGACCTAGCTATTCCCCTGTTGTGTATCTTCCCCAAAGAATTAAAAGAATCATACTACAGCGATATATGTGCACCCATGTTCATAGCGGCACAGTTTGCATTAGCTAAAGCTTGGAAGCAGCCCAAGTGCCCATCAACTGGACACTGGATAAAGAAAATGTGTTTTTTTTATAAAATGGAGTACTACTCAGCCATAAAGAATGAGAAACTAGAGTCATTTATAGCTAAATGGATGAATATTGAGGCCATACTCTTAAGTGAAATAAATAGGACACACGTGTAAATACAGAATAGTTTCTCTAGTGTGAGAAACTGAAAGTGTAAACAAGGGTTAAAATGATTAAAATGAATAATTGATAATTTGAAATAGGAAAAAGGGTCCAAAGATAAAAGAGTGAAGGGAGGGGAAGGGGAAAGGAAAAGAGGGAAAGGAAAAACAATGAGAAAAGAAAAAAAAAATGGAAATGAAATCTATGTAAATAGGGAAGGGCGGAGTGGGTGAAGGGTGCACAAGGAATGGGGAAAAAATAAGAACAAAGATACGTCATGTACAGCTACAAACACCCAATGATAAATGTAAACGAATTGTATACCTAAAATGTACCAATAAAAGAACAACAACAACAACAAAAGAGACCAAAAAGGGAATAAAGGAAAATAAAAATAAAAAAGGTTAAAAAAAAAAGAAAGAAACCTAAAAAGGGTAACATCAATAAAAAATAAATACAAAAGGCCAAAAAGGTTACTAAAAATTGTGTAATATGCAATGCTATTACAAAGCATTTCAAGTGGTAGCTCTCAAAACTTTACTGTGTCCGGCCAAGATGCAGCTGGCAAATGAGTTTAAAATGTTGATCCTCAAATTCAGCCACAGCCCCTCAGAATCAGCATCTCTGCACCGAGAAGAGACCCAGGAGTTTTATGCAGATGGTTCACTGATGGCGGAAGAGCTGAATTTCAGCAGCCGGAAACACTCGGGCTGCCTGCCACAGACTGGCAGGAAGCAGAGGGCCTGCTCCTCACAGGCCGCTGAGCCTGAGCTCAGCTCCTCGCTGCAGATCCAGGGTCCAGAGACTGCCGGACACCTGCCTGGTGGCTTGCAGCAGCTGCGGCATGGGGCAATCTGCACAGGACTCCCTGGCCCGGAGCCGTGAGTGCCTACCTGACCCACATGTGTTTCCTTAAAGAACGGCACTGGCAGCGAGGCAGGGGCATCCGCGAGGGACATGGCCTCGACTTCCCTAGTGCTGCCCCTGGGCCTCCTCCTGTGCCTCTCAGTGGAGGAGCGGAGCAGAGCGTCCTGTCTGCTTCTCACGACTGGCCTCTAGTTTCTACGTTTCTCCCCAAATGATCAATTTCTAAATCCAAACCATGTGACAAACTAGCTTTGGCTCTACTCAAAGACCTACAGCTCCACAGGGACACGCTGGAGAAACCTGCCATGAGCAACACTCACAGTAACACAAGTCACATTGCTGGTGTTCATGGAAGCTGCTACTGGGATCCTTACTAAGGCATTTAAAAGCCTCACATATGCATCCTTTGAGTGAACAAGTTTGCTTCTCATGATGTGCCTGAACCCAGCAGAAAGTTCAAGATAGCCTCAATATCCAATAGGGTATTTCTTTAAAAAGTTACCATACAGTCTACTTCTAAATGATATGAAGGGTCTCTTGTCATGAATGTGTACTCCAAGGTACTGGCAAGAAAAGTGCAAAACACTGTGTTGTTCCTAAAGTGAACACATTAGGAAAGAAATAGTCACACATTAAGTATATTTTTAAAATACTCAAAGCCCAATTACTAGTAAAATGTCCCCAAATTGGTAATTGTTTCCAACTGAGTCCAAGTATGGGTTATTAGTATTTGTCAAGCTTTGTGTTAGGAGAATGAACTGGTTAAATTGTGGGGGAACAAGTAGAAATTCTTTATGGAAAAAACAAAACCTAAATTGTAGGACGATAACCAAGGGCAGCTCCTACCATGGGGTCAGCTCTCGCTAGTTCACCACCAGAGGCAAACTCTGTTCTACCTGTGCCACCCCTCCACCTGCCGGAGTCCACTCCAAGCCAACCAGCAGCCCACGAACTTCCCCGCCAGCTAGAGGGGCGTCAGTGCTGTGTGTGAGCGTGGAACCAAACAAGGGCCGTGTACTAAAGCTCTCCACTGTCCTTTATCTTTATTTATATTTATTTTCAAAACTATGAGCACTCTCTACCATTAGGTAACACTCATCCCAATAATGGAAAGATTCCCACTAATATTTTACCAAAAAGTTATGATCTCTTTTCTTCTATCTCATTTTTTTATGGCCAGCTAAAAAACCCTTACCATGGTCTCCGGCGTACATCATAAAGATCAATCTTGTTTGGAGTTCTACTGTCTACCCACGGAGAAGCTAGGAAAAAAGTACAGAGATGAGATCAAAATGGTATATGTGCTGTAAAACTTGAAAAGGCACAATGTGCCTTCGACACAAAATTCCACTTATTACAGCAGTGTTCAAATGGGAGGCTCCTGGGCCAGGGGTTTAGCTCAGTGGTTTTGGTGCCTGCTGTGCAAGCACAAGAACCCAAGTTGGATCCCCGGTACCAAAAACAAAACAAAACAAATGGGAGGCTCCATTTTTCTTCCCTTGGAGTTGTCTTTGTCAAAGTGGAAAACAGCATCTCGGCAGAAAAGCAGCGTTGTCAGGTCTGTTTTCCAGTGAATGAGGCGTCAGCTGCAGAGCGATGCGGGGCGCTGGCTGCTGAGCGACCAGGTCTACCAGGCGAGTGGGGGTCACACAGTCTCCCTTCTCTTCTTAAACTGAGAATGCAGCTTTCAGAAATGTATCTGCCATGCGTGGAAACTTTGCTTTCGATTATTTGGTCCCTATATTTTCATTCCATGAAGTCCTGTCTTAGTCTGCACAAGATGACTTTTAGGCTTGTTACCCTAAAATCATGTGATTTGTTGACTTTCACATTCATATCACTGATAATGGCAAATCCACATTGAAAGTATAATGAAGGGTTAAAGTATAATTAAAATAGCAGCATTGAAATTGTTTTCTTTACATTTATTTGAATGATGTGAGCTAATCTGAATCCAGTCAATGATTTGTGTGATTTTACAGCCTTTATATTTTAATGAACATCACAAGAAACCTGAGCTTAGTTGTGCTGATTTTAATGCAATTAATTTACACTGATTCTAATTTAATCCACATTTACTTTAATGAAAAAGCTTCACAAAGCTGTATGTGCCCACACAGCTCAGAACTCATGGAGAAGAGGAAATATTGATGCATTCAACGATGACTTTGTTGGAGAAGTTCTCTCTCTTCCCGAACATGGCCAGACACACGACCCTGAGGAATACTGCTAATTCTCAAGACCGCCGCAACATAATCTATTTTCCCCTTCTCTTTATTCAGAAACTACGGAAATAATGAAGAACTTTACAGAGTCAGATTTATTAGCCAACTAAGATAATTTGGGCAACTAAAATAAGTCAGAAAATATACACAGTATGTCCCTCCTTGGCTGTGAAATTAGAGGCAATGGAGGGAAATGATTTATTCATTTTAAATGACTAATCACATTTACATGAAAGAGTTCCTTTAAATATAGCACTCCCCCAAGATCCAATTACTGGCACATGTAACTGATATGGTAAATTTATTTTATTTTAAGTCTTTCAATTTGCATTTGCAGAAACTAAGTGCCAGTAATATAAAATATTTTTCCCTTTGTAACACTAGAATTACGCAACAAGCAAGCTGGCAGACATCTCTATTCGCTTTCAAATACTTCTCTGTAATATCTGACCCCAAGTTAATGTCTTAGTGATCACTAAAAGTTTAAAGACTGTGTGTCTTAATTTCAGCATCACGCAATGCCGGGTACACATTGACTCCCTCCCAACTCCAAATGCCCCCTTTGGTTGCCTCCATGGAAGTAGATCTGGGCCTCTGATAGTCTGCACCACCAGCTGGCCCACTTCTGGCTCTGCACAGGTGGCCCAGACACGAAGGGAGAAGATATTGGGCCCCCAGTGTTCCAGGAGCCTGGCCAGTTCTGGCCCCAAGGTCAGCGGTAAATCCAGCTTTCAGAGGCGCCTGGAGCCCAGACGGCGGGTTCCCGGTAGATGCCCCTGGTGTGCGGCTCAGCGACCTCTCTGCCTGGGTAAGTCACCGCCACCTTCTCTAGAAGAAGGAATCTGGCTCTCTGCACAGGGGGAGGGGGGAATTGGGCCGCTTTCCAGGCCCTCTGGGCCTTGGGGGTCATAACTACACACAGGATTAGATGGTACGACATGAACCTGCTTCTTGTATACCTTTCAGCATTCTCTGTGATTCTAGTCAACCCCTGAGTATCCCACTCACCGTGATAGTCAGTAATTCTTCATTTAAAAATAAACTTTCCCTGTTTCAAAGGACGGTGTGTTTTCCTCTTCCCTGATTGGAGCAAGACTGATACAAATGTGCAGTGGACATGAGAGAGGTGACATTAGTTAGCACAGCCAATCCAATGGTCACAGCCAGGAGTAGCAAGAAGCCAGCAAGGAATTTGAGATGTGATTTGATGACACCAGGAACTGAAAGTTATTCTTTGTAGAGCACATTCATCCAGCATTTCTGTTTTAACTGCTACAACTGCTAAGTGCAATTAGCTCATCAGAATTACTACATTCCATAAAATATATATTTCTCTTTAAAGACAAAAAAAAGTATAATTTATATTATGAGCCAGATCATTAAAATTTAATGTAACATACAAGCATAGGTGGTTTACTTTTAAAAATATATTAATAATCTTTTATGAGGTTTCTGAGATATTTGCTTTTAAGTAATAGCCCATGATTAGACTAAATTTAAGATATTTCTATTATGGTAAAATTAAATAATATAATCTCTTTTGTGATGTTACTAATTAACATTTAAAATCCCACTGTGGTAGTTAAGTGGCATGTTATTTATATAAACTCAGAAGTATGGCAGCTCCAATAGTAAAACAGACAATAGATATACAAAGTGACCCCCTGAAATAATCAGCTTCATAATTGTGCACAGTGAGACTTCACGCCATGAAAGAAATCACAGCTTTGCAAATCCCCAGAAAAGTGAAGTGTGGATCCACTGCAGAGTTCCTTCTGGCACGAGGGAGGACCAGAACCAGCCCACACAGGGGCATCTCATTTCCCAGTGCTATCATTAAAGGTGACAATGATAAATTATGAGGATGTTTCCCCTTATCAAAAATAAACTGCACCAGGAAGGGAGGAGAGGGAAAGGAAGGCAGGGAAAAGAAAAAAAGAGAGAGAAAAGGAAGATAAAACAGAAACAAAGCTCTTGTAAATAAGAAGGGGACAAGAGGTAGAAAGGAAGGGAGGGAAATGGGGAAAATATGAATCAAGATATATCATGTACAGGTACAAATTCCATACGATGAATGTGATCACTATGTACATCTACATTGCACCAATAAACTTAATGATTAAAAACCTGGAGATGTATCTTTTATTAAATCTTCGGGAACGCTATTCTGCTTCACCAGACATCAAAGTTGTGCTGGGGATCTGTCAAACCTGCAGCTTAAGCGAGCGCTTACCTAAACATTAACTCAGAACACTGGAGGAAACATGCAGACTTTGGTGCCATTTTATAGGTAAACAGTCCAAAAGTTAATAGGAAAGTATTTGTTGTTCATTTTAGTTCTTAGGAAACAATGAAGCAAATGATGTATTGACGAGTGACTCTATTGGTAGAAATTCCATTTTAGATGATAGCTATTGTATTTCCGATTAATACATTCAAATGTACTTTCCTAATTTTGAAAGGCATCAGATTTTTTATCTCATGAGAATAAAAAGAAGTGCACTTCCTACACTCAAAAACGCATCTTCTAAGTTACTCCTGGGCCCTTTGCCTTGCTCTACCTGGGGGATCCTTTATTTTAGCCTTGTCCCAGTCACGGGGTCAAGAACATTAGTCACGCTGAACTGCAAGACAAGATAAAAAACTGGGACTGGTTATGAGCAAAAATTAACTCACTGGGTTTGTATTCCACAGCTCAAATAATTTCTGTGAATCTGAGAGCTGCTATCCACCTACCACCATCTTGGAAAGACACCCTCAGCTCTCCTGTGTCCCACCTGGACCCTGCATCTAGGATGGGGACAGAAGTCTCCTTAAATGAGAGTGAATTATGTCCACACAAGGAGGAGCCAGAGGATCTGGGAAAGCCAACAGCTGGCATCTTCAGACCTTGAGCGATCTGAGAAATACTCAAAATATAGAAAGATGAGTCTATAGTAGTTAGGATGATGCAGAATGCTTTAAAGTATGGTCTCAAGCTCCCCGTGCCTCACTGCTCTAAGCCATCTGCCCAGCCATGGCTGGGGTGTGGAGGGAGTCTGCTCCCAGCAGGTATGCACACACCTAAACCTGCAGAGCATCTGTCCTCTCCAAAGCATCGCTTCCAGGCCGCCCAAGGCACTGGCCAGGGCATTGGCTGCTAAAGAGGGAGGATCTATGTGGAAGGCACACGTGGGTCACCACAATCTCCAGCTTGAAGTGATGTGCACTACACTCACGTTCCACTGGTGACAATGAGCCCCATGGCCCCACCCAGACACAGAGAGGTCTGAGAAACAGTTCCTGGCCACGTGGTCATGTCCACAAGCAACTTCACCACAAAAGGCGAGGACAAGAAGGGCAGCTAGCGAGCTCTGCCGCCGTACAGATGGACACTGAAAAATCAGTGACATTCTGTGCTTCTCACTGTATCAGACTGTGTGTGCCCAGTGCTGTCCTCAAGTAAGCCACCCGAGAGGAGTAAGATAGGAAAGGGCTCAGCTCAAAATCTAGAAAATCAATGTAAAATGTCACATTTAAGAATTATTTCTAGACTGCATTGTAGGAAAGGGACTATCTACATGAGAAATTCCCTGGAAGGAATTCCCTAGAAGCGCCTGGCATTGCTGCTGATACTGTTTGTATGACAGACGAGACGAAGCCCGGTCTGCAGAAGCACTGTCTGACCCCTGAAGCAACTCTGGGGCTCCAAACCTGCCCCAGAAATCAGCAGGCTGTGAAGACCAGGCAGCCCCAAGCTCTAGCCTTCAGACTCCTCACAGACTGCTCCTGACAGCTGGGCGAGTCCCAGGGCACTGGCTGCAGCAGTCCTTGGGCTCCCCGAGCAGCCACCCTTCCTCAGGGCGGGAGGTCTCCATCTTTTCCCTGGTGCAGTGGAGTGGTACAGCGCATCAGTGGCCAGCTTGCATCCCTCACTGCTTTCCCAAGGGGAGATGCACGGTAGCAGAGAAACCATGTAGATTACACATCTCAGCAGCAATCGGAACAAACAGGGCAGAGAAAACCACTTAGGAAAAGTTATACTACCTGATACAGAT